GTATTGTGGATTTTATTTCTTATTTATTATAGTTAAATTTTAATAACTTGAAGCGCTGACGATCGTAAAATCATCCAGAAATATACGGTTTGCAGTGACCAGAACCGCTTAACACACGCACTAGAAAAATAGATGGTTTGTTTAGTAGAATATGTATTTTAATGTTTTTCTTTGTCAATATATAGACATGGACGCTTACACAAAATATTTCTTACTCACACGTAAGTTTATTCCCATACACGCGTATATTTATTCGAAGATTAATATCAATGTCATTTGGACTTATGAAAGAAAGGACCAATAATACTGAATTGGATGAAGATTTATTTTATTGCATTAAATGTTAATACACTGAAAGTCCCTCAGCGCCAGCAAATACTCCACAGCTCATTGCTATATCATGTTCAATCCCTTCTACACGAAAAAAAAATGTAAATAAAACCCTCAGTCACTTGTCTTGTACTCGGATCAAATGCCGACGCTACCGAGTTCATATATATATATATATATATATATATATATATATATATATATATATATATATATATATATATATATATGATGTTGAAGCAATCAGTCTATTTACCGTCACGCTCTGCAAGTGAAACCTGGAGGAACTTCCCGTAGAGTTCGCCATCATCATTTCATCTACTGATCTGTGTGAGTTAAATGCGGCAATCCATAGAGTTCCTAATCTGAAGAACTCTGTACATTTTGTTAATTTCATTGAGTATAGCTTTTTCCCAAAAAAGTTATAATCAACCCGAGAAATATAAATCAAAAGAAGAAGCATAGAGTCGGGAGGGGGAGAGGGATGTGACGAAACGAAAAATAGGATAATAAAGTACACAAAAAAAACGAGAAATTTATTGGTAGATTTTAAACGTCTTAGATATTCTAACATTTTAATCCCACAAGATATTCGAAGCTAATGACCTTAGCTGTTGAAACCAAATAATTTCCAACAATCAATCAATCACTAAGAAACAAAGAAACACACCAAAAAAGCTTCATACTTTTGCAGTACGGTAAACTGCGCAGATTTTAATAGACTCAATACATCATTACAAAAGGCAAACTGAAACCGCACTGTTTGAAAATCACTACAGCAAGAAAAATCATCACCGAGATAAGAACACCAGTGATAACAATAGAGAATAGTAATCATAATGTGGTAATTACAAAACAACAATAACAGCAATCAGTCATCATTATATATTCTCATTATTTTACTATGAATTGATACAGATGAGGAAAATACAAACAGAATTGGCAATAATAATCATCTAAATGACGAAACAGTAGTGACAGTACTCCAAATAAACAAAAGCACAATAGCAAAAACAATGATGAGAATAATCGTAATGACAGGAATGATTAGAACAAAAAATACAATAATCTGCAATGCAGGTAGAGAGGACCGCCTCTGTGCAGGTGTTTCGTCTGCTGAAAGTTCCTCTAGCTTATGTCGCGCTGTTGATCCCTGGTTGTTTTCCCCGCATCGCTTCTGTATGCACACTTTCTTCCTTTTTTTTTTTTTTTTTTTGGTCTGCAGTGATGATGATGTTACGCAGGTGTGTTAATTAAGTAATAATGACAGGAAAAAATAATAATGTGCTAAAACAGGTTAATTTAGAGATTTCTGTGTGGCCGCGTGGCCGCTAAAAGACATTTTTTTCTCCATTTTCGATTGAGGAAAATATGTCAGGTGTTATGTTTTTTTTTTCTCTTAATTAAAAGGTTATGTCCAGATGGCTCTATATGAATATCCCTTTTCTCTCTCTATTAAGCAACATTTCAACCAGTAAACATATCCCATGTTTAGTTAAAGGTGATTTGGATCATTCAATGCATGGGTATCGAATGATATGAAATGTCCCTTTTTATCATTGACGTATCCGCTGTGTTCTCTGCCGTTCATTATTTCTCTTATCTTCGCTTTAATATAATATATATACTTTCTTTATTTAGAGATTTGTCAATGGCCATTCAGCCCCCAGACTTGTTTATTGAATTAAGATGATGATGATGATGGTGATAATGATGATTATCAAAGAGTCAATTAATAGAAAAAAAATTATGTCTATTCCAGCAGTAATGGAATCCTTTAGTAGTTTCTTGTTATCTGGCATCTCAATCTGATCTGTGTCCACTTCGCGTTGTGTGTAAAAGACCCTGAATGGCAAGCTCTCTTATTGCAAGAGGTTCTTATATCTTCCGCATGCTTCAGAACTGCATATTACGCGGAGAACATTTGCTGTAACGATCATTGGAATGCTTAACAACCTGTGTCTTCGATTTCCTGTTGTATTGCTGTATGTATCTGATAGATCTCTATATATCTATATAAATGATGATTTAGCATATACCTAATAATTTTTATTGCAAAATACACTAACAGAGGTCCCATAGTGAGTCATAAGCAGTTGAAATCAAGGGAGAGTGTACCCTAAATACCTATCCCATCCTTTCAAAAAAATAAAAATAAACAAAAGCTTTCGAGTTTATTGATATTGGAATATAATGGCTTGAAGCTCAAAAGAAAAAACAAAAAAATTGTAACATGTTTGATTACAACACATGATACTGCATCTACAGAGGTCCTTTACAGTACATTGTCTCAAGATGCTGAGTATTAGAATTCATACAATATCCCATTTTTCACCTTTGCCTCTGAGGGACACAGGAATTGACTATGAACACCATCTTCCCACTTGATAAAACAGAAAATGTTAATTAGTATTTACAAGAAAGTTGCACATTTTTTTTTTTATTGCTACTCGATATATACTACAATTCATATGCCCCCTTTTTTTTTATTGCTACTCGATATATACTACAATTCATATGCCCGTCACAGCTTGGCCTATTCTGCCTTGCTGTGGAAGTCTCATTGCTGACCAACACGACAGTTAGTTCATTTTGTGTTTTATCAGAATGTCCAAAAACCCTGACTATTGCAACCAATTCCTTCCTGGGAAAAATATACAATCGACCAGCAGTCTTCCCCTGTTTGTTTAGGATTTGTTAAGTCTTTTCTCATCATCTAAAATTATCACTTTCTCTCCACTAATGAAAAGCACTTGCAAATTTGCCTCTGGATTTAGAAAGAAAAATGTTTTTAGATACCAAAGTAACAATGTGTGTTTATATAAAATGCATCTTCCAAACAGTAAATGCAACAAACACACTGTGAACAGCTCATATAGTTTGATCATATATTAAAGGTTAATGAGTAAAAATATCAGTTGCAAGTTTATTGAAAAAAATCTAAATAAGAGGTAATCTGACACAGGAAAATTTGATTTTGCTACGATGCCACACTACTTTCTTCAGGTTCTTCATCAAGCTAATAATTTTTCCAATTCACAACACCAAAGATTGATTGCATCGCATACATACTTCTGACTTAAGGCAACTTTCTGTATTTCAATGAAAGAGTAGGCATATCATAAAAGCATATGCAAATATATGATTTTCTATAACATCCCTCAAATAAAAAGTTGCATATATATCTACATTTCATTTAGAATATTTACAAATCATGGCATCATAATATAATAGTTATATACATTGATACCATGGTAATGCTATGTAGAGGACATAATATACTCTGAATAACTACAACAGCAATTAAGCTAAGGAACATAGCAACGAAAACAATTTTATATTACTTTCCGGTGGCTTAAAATTAATACTGGTGTAGTGTCTCGGAAATATTTCTGTATGATTCTTCAATAAAACCTAATTATTTCAGTATTTCTTTCTTTAAAATATTTCTTGTTTATTACAGATAACTGAATCAGTACTAGCTACACATTTTTAGAGAATTGCATCTAGTTTTTACTTCTTTTTGTTGGCAAATATCCAAAAAGCTTTTAATCCAATTCAGAAGACAGTGCTTTTTTGCCCCCTTCTCATCGCACCATAAATGTCTCTTTCAAAATAATACTGTCAAAATCTGAATCTCAGTTAGTATGTAGGGTATGTTGCCATTTCTTATTCATGGACTCATTAGTTTCGTCATGCATGTGTTTGAATTTAAGAATATGCAGATAAGCATTTCTTTACATATATACATTATATATACATATATATTATATATATATATATATATATATTATATATATATATATATATATATATATATATATTTATGTACATATTTATATGTATGAATATATATGTATGTATATACATGTATGTATATATATGTATGTATATACAGTACATGTATGTATATATATGTATGTATATATACGTATATATGTATACAATACTATATGTATATGCATATGTACATGTATATGCATATATGTATAGTATATATGCATATGTATGTGTATATATACATATGTATATGTATGTATGTATGTATATATGTGTGTGTATATGTATACATATATATATATATATATATATATATATAATATATATATATATATATATATATATATATATATATATATATATACACATATATACATATATATATACATACATATATATAAATATATATATATATAATATATATATACATATTTATACATATATATATATATACATATATATACATATATATACATATATATATATATGCATATATGCATGCACACACTCACAGGCACACGCATAAGCACGTGCCCACGCACACACACATGCACACCGACACATGCATGCACACATGCAACCCCTCCCCCCAACATACACACACACATATATGTTATATATATATTATACACACACATATGTATAAATATATATTATATATATATATATATATATATATATATATATATATATATATATATATATATATATATATATATATATATATAAAGGCATAATCAACCAAATAATGTGTATGGAGTAATAAGAGAACTTTCAGTGGTATTTGTCATACCAACATATACAGCCATGAGCACCATAATCACAAGCTTATGTACAAAAATATAGTGTTTCATTATTATCACTCCACTGGGGTTAATGAGGTCTTCAGAAATCTGTTTGGATTTAATGTTCAATTATACCCAAAAATAACATTTGAACAATTTACTTGCTTCTTGTAGAAACAACACCATTTTGCAAGGAAATGTGTCAAAAGAATATATTACGTTTTTACTGCCGCAACACTGTTATCATAATCAATACATAAAAATCACAATGCTGATTCATTGATCTTTCTTCGTATTTTTATCATTTTCTCATTCTTTCAACTTTGCATTTCCTTTACATTTGTAATCAAACTGAAACATATGTAAATATATACCTTTCATATAATAAAACCTTTCAAAAAATATTGTACAATTAAATTCTTCACCTTTACAAGTTGTGAGCCACACATACTTTGTGAAAAGACGCAGCAAGGTATCTGCCTAAATTGTATGTATATCATGAAACCATGAACTGATATAAATTGAAGAAAAATAGTATGTCATATATATAATCAATATATAACTGACTAACAATGCCACAATATGCAATTAATTAGTAAAAAATGTAATAATAATTCTGTAGTATCTATTCCTTTATCATCATGGTCATAATCTTGTACATGTCAACTTAAACATAAAATGATATGAAGGCAATGCCATGGAGGTCAGGTTTTTCTTCTTTACAATGTTGTGAATCTCTATCAATATCATTTATATATATATAATAACACTCATTCCTATAAGGCCAGAGGGATTTTTTTTTTTTTTTAAGATAAATGAAGTAGTAAGTACACACTTGATTAGAAATAACAATACTGAATATAAAAAAAATATAGCAATCAAAATAACAGCAATAATAACGCATTAGAATAATACAGACTTGAAAATAATCACTATATAGTATAAGAAAATAATTAAATATCTGTCTTGACATTTTGGTTTCAAAAGAATATGTTTAAAAAACGAAAAAAAATATGTAAGGCAGGCAATGCTACAGCAAAGATTTAAATAAAAAGGTCTATGTAAGTTTATAAACATTTCAGCTCTATAAAATGGAAGTTTTATTAGGGAAAATATGAGCCAACTTGGTCTTTATATACAAAGACATGAGAATATTTTCTTTTTCATTTGAGATGAGGTGTAGCAATGAAAAAAAATATATAAAATGCAACAGAAGAAAGATGGAATGAAAAAATGCAAGAGAGGAAGTCAGAGAGTGAGAGAGAGAAAGTGAGAGAAATTGTGAAGAAAAGAAACCCTAAAAGATCTCTAAAATATATACAACAGTTTGGAATTAAAATTCTGTTTTTTGTGTGAAAAAATACCCCCTCCCCCCTTTAAAATGCACCTTTGAAAGCAAGCACAACTTTGCTATAGCATCAAAAGGCTTCCCTCATGACGGGGAGCCCCAAATCACAACGCATCACAAGAATGATCATAACAATATTAACCCAGTGCCGCCAGGAAAATGATGTGTTCACTATAGTATTGTTTTGCAAAATGTCTTTACATATAGATGGCTCCACAAGTGCTCAGCCACTAAAGAGTCAATTAGCAGACCTCGTGACCTCACCTGATGTAGGGAGTACTAATAATTGGCTCGTTGGTGTCTCAGTTCTTGTGGAGCCAGTTGTGTAAGGACAGTTAATAAACTAGACTCCCAGTGGGCATAGCATGTACTTACATGCCATCCCCTGCGGCATCTAGCTCAACTTCTATTTCTGATTAACATTTCCACAACTCGAGATATAAGGCCGGGACTGATTTTCTCCCTTCACGGTGCGAGCACAATTACCGAACCCTAATGACAATGCTCCGTGATGTCAACAACAACGGATTTACGCCAGCCGAAGAGGAAGTAGCCGAGGCCTGCCCCTAAGACGCAGGCTAAGCAAAGCCACACATTGTAAGTCATGAAAATCAACATGAGCAGGTAACTGACGATCATCTGGAGCATGTGCATTAACGTTTGGATGGTATGATCCTTGCTCAGCATGCTCATTCTGCAAAGGAGAGGGCGGTTAGGGAGAACTTATTAGAAATAGATACACAGAGATATATAAGAAAAAAAAAAATATTCATATATTTTGTCACTATATATATTTAAGTACATTTTTTCCTATCTACCTATCTTGCTATACACATAAATATAAATAAGTATATGAGTCTATGTGTATATGTATATGTATATGTGTGTATGTATGTGTATGTGTACAAGAGTACATGTATAATCTGTGTGTGAGTGTGAGTGTGTGTGTAAGTGTAAGTGTGTGTGAGTGTAAGTGTGTGTGTGTGTGAGTGTAAGTGTGTGTGAGTGTGAGTGTGAGTGCAAGCATGAGTGTAAGCATGAGTGTACGTGTGAGTGTGAGTGTGCGTGTGTGTGTGTGTAAGTGTGTGCGAGTGTAAGTGTCAGTGTCAGTGTGTGTGTGTGTGTGTGTAAGTGTGTGTGTGTGTGTGTGTGTGTGTGTGTGTGTGTGTGTGTGTGTGTGTGTGTGTGTGTGTGTGTGTGTGTGTGTGTGTGTGTGTGTGTGTGTGTGTGTGTGTGTTGTGTGTGTGTGTGTGTGTGTGTGTGTGTGTGTGTGTGTGTGTGTGTGTGTGTGTGTGTGTGTGTGTGTGTGTGTGTGTGTGTGTGTGTGTGTCTGACACACACATGCATGTGCTAAAATCTATTTACTTTAACATATTTCTAGAACAATTTCATGAATAATTCATGTCGTGGAAAAAACGACTACTCTCGCACATCAATTAAAAGTAAAATATCAAACAACACCAATTATGATTAGACTGTGCTCAACAAAAGAAAAAAAAATCATAACAATTCTACGTAAGTAGTAATAAAAAAAAACATGCAGGAATACCAGCCATATGTATATACAGAATCAATCCTGAGAAAATCAAAATGTATGCTTGTACAACTACAAAAAAAAATATATATAATCATCCCAAAACCAAGTTTTTTATAACACGAAAAGCCAATACCAAGTACAAAAGATCAAACAAACAAATGACGGAAAAGCAGGAGGGGGAGAAGGAGGAGGAGGAAGAAGAAGAGGAGATGAGGAGGAGGAGGAGGAGGAGGGAGGGAGGAGGAGGGAGAAGAGGAGAGGAGGAAGGGAAGGAGAAGAGGAGGAGGAGGAGGAGGAGAGGGAAGGAGGAGGGGAGGAGGAGGAGGAGGAGGAGGAGGAAGGAGGAGAGGGGAGGAGGAGGAGGAGGAGGAGGAGGAGGAGGAGGAGGAGGAGGAGGAGGAGGAGGAGGGGAGGAGGAAGAGGAGGAGGGAGGAGGAGGAGGGGGAAGAGGAGGAGGAGGAGGAGGGGGGAAGAGGAGGGAGGAGGAGGAGGAGGAGGAGGAGGAGAGGAGGAGGAGGAGGAGGAGGGAGGAGGAGGAGGGAGGAGGGGGAAGAGGAGAAAAAGAAAAAATGAAAGATAGAAAGAAAAAAAAAAAAGGAATCAACACTCATGCAAGCACTGAAAAGCGAGCCAGAAAAACAAACCCACACGCTACTTACGTTGGGGGCATAATTATCTGCTCCATATACCTGTAGTAATGAGGACATGGTCAAAGTTACCACCAGTACATTAAACATCATGGGAACAAAGACAAAAAACATACAAACATTTAAAAGAAACTATCATGTGGACTACAAACATAAAAATAACCATCATGAAGACTACAAACATTAAAAAAAACTATCATGTGGACAACAAACACAAAAATAACTATCATGAAGACTACAAACATTTAAAAATAACTACCACTTGGACAAAGCTAAAAGGAAAAAACTCGAGATAAGTCACTGTGTTACTTTAATGGCTTTTATGTTAACTAAATATTTGAATTTCTATGGCTTTACCATTTCAGTGAATTATCTCAACTTAAAATACACTACAAATATTACCCGTTACCATTTTGTTATCTAAATAGTTCTAAAGGAAAATGAAATAAGTGAATGAGTGAGTGAGTGAGCAAATAGGTGAGTGAGTGACTGAGTTAGTGAGTGATGTAATGAGGGTAGTAAGTGAGTGAGTGAGTGAGTGAGTGAGTGAGTGAGTGAGTGAGTGAGTGAGTGAGTGAGTGAATGAGTCAATGAGCAAGTGAGGAAGTGCATGATTGAATGTTAGTAATTGAATGGAAAATTGAGCAAATACAACATACTAACACTAAGTTAGAAAAGTTGTTTACGTAACAGTTTACACCCACAATGTCCAATCTACTGACAGCTGTTACATGCATCGTACTAAATAACTGTACCCTAATGCTGGTTTTACTACGTTTACTATAAATTCCGTCCTACTAAAGTCACAATTCTCTTTTCACTAAATTCACAACAATGCTCATCTTATCAAAATTGCCAGAATTTTCGGTTCACTAAACTCTCAACAATGCTCGTCTCACTAAATTCGCCACAATGCTCATCTCACCAAACTCACTACAAGTCTCATCTCACTAAACTCCCCACAATTCATATCTTACAGAAAAAAAAACTCCTCACACTGAGAATTCTTTTTGAAGGAAGCAAGAAAAAGCAAGAAAAGTCTTCAGAATAAAACATACAGAGGCCTGAGTCCCCATAGGCCTGAAATATATACCAGCTTTGGAAAAAGGTATTCCATTTCTGTCTTGTTTTCCCTTTTATCGTTGTTCTTAAAGTTCAAGGTTCCTATCTACCCTAATTTTTTTTTTTCATGAAAACATTAAAGAAAATATACACATCTTTAACACACCTACAATTCCAAAATACCAAACAATAATGCTTGATTTAATCCCACATAAATTCAATAGTCACATTAAAATCACTGGAACTAATTCTATATAGACCACATAGAAAAAAAAAACTAATTGATACACAAATACGTAATATTATCAATAACCCAAACACGGCAATCCATCATCATCATTTCCTTCATGACCTGCATAAAATCAGCTTTTGATCAATTATGACAAGAGGTTCCCAAACTGGAGTCTACATTCCCTTAAAAATTAATCGTAAGGGTTTTAGGTGTTTTCTCCAATCATTCAGCTATTTTTTCGTTTCTTCTCAATGAATCTATTAATTTTACTTTAGAATCTTGTTGGTTTGGCAAGATTTGATAATGATATATTTCCATTATTGCTAGATATTGCATTGAAATAACTAGACAGAAGTATCAATCAAAATTCATAAGTGCAAAAGCAACATGGATTCCTTGACTGACTAAAGTTTGGGAACCGCTGATCTTTTACGTGAAGACAAACTTGAACTGGACAGAAAAATTTTCCCCAGTCAGACATACCTCATCTGTTTGTTCTCATCTGTAATGTTATTCTTATCTACGTTGGCACAGTACTGCATGGAGGCGATGGCTTGGCGAAACAGGTGTTCTCTGCAGAAATGTAGACAAAGGTTACCCGATGAATTTTGAGATTGTAAAAAAAATAAAAAATATAATAACAATTATATAAATTACATCGTTTTATTTTCAAACGTTAATCAAACATGATACATAATACATTAATATAGGTCTACTTAATGCACTTAAAAAGGTCAAGATAAATTCATTTATCTATTTATTGAAAGGTTTCAATCAACATCTAAGGTCATTCGCGGAGTATTCAAAATATAGCATATAAGGGGGGAGGCTAAGAGGTTAAGCCTCCAAATAAGGAGAGGTCATACAGCAGTATGATAAAATATTGTGGCAAAAAGGGTAAAATGAATTAACAATTAGGACAAAATATGTTAGATGTCAAAGGTTGTTGAGCACTGTAGGTTAGTATGATAGTGAAAAAGGTAAAGAGGGAAGAGCAAACGCAGTACGAAAGCTGTTCAGGACACAAAGCCAGCCTTTCCTTTTTATAGCAAAGCTCTCACTCACAACACCAAAGAAGGGGATGAAGAAAGAGAAGAAGGGGAAAATGGAAGGGAGAAGAAGAAGACATGCAAATTTAGTTGAGGCGAGGGCAGAAGTCCAAGGTAGGGGCGATCCCTTACACTGGGTCTTGGTCTCTGTCTCCGAACCCCATGACAACAATGAGCAAATGATTAGGGGGGTCAAAGATTAAAGGAATAAAAAAACTAATCCTGGTTTTCTATAATTTCTCTCCTCCCTTTCTCCCACTCCCTGGCCTGGCCTGTACTGCTTGCCTGCTACATGCCTGTTTATTGGTTTGTCTCAATAAGTCTCTCTCACTCTCTCTTCCTCCCTTCCCCCCTTCCCCTTCCCCTTCCCTTCCCCCCTCTCTCCCTCTTCCTCTCCCTCACCCTCATCTTAACCTGCTCCCTCACATTCACCCTCACTCTTACCTTCTTCCACTCCATCTCCTTCTCTCTCCCTCTCCCCCCTCTCCTTTCCCTCTTCCTCTCTCTCACCCACCCTCAATCCTTTCTTTTCTCTCTCATTCTCCTCTGTTTCCCAACTCTCACACACTCTCTTTCCTCCCTCTCCCTCTCCCTCTCCCTCACACCTTTTTCCCTCCTTCTCCTTCCCCTTCTCTTTCTCCCTCTCCCTCTCCATGCACCCCCCCTCCCTCTCTCCCTACCCCCTCCCATACTCTCTCCCTCCTGTCCTCCCTCACCTTCCTTTTAGACTCCCACTCTAAACACACAGAAAAAAATACATTCACTTTCCCACACACTAACCTAAAGTACTTAAGTCCTTCATACAGCATAGCAAGGATAAAGATGCCGACCATCGAGCCAATGAGACCTCCGATGGTGCTGATTTTCCAGAAATCGAACAGGATGACCTCATCGTAACCAAAATGAAAAGTCATCTGAAAAAAAAAAGAGTTAAATCAGAGTAAAAAACATTTACATATGTACATAGTAACAAAAAATAGAATAAAAAATATAAAAACAACCAAACAAATAAATAAATAAATGTATTAAATGATGTCTGAACCCACACACAGCATCATTCTCTTCTCTAACATGCTGGAACTATATACTCTTTCCTGAATATCAATATATGTAACTATCATCACGGCTAAAACATATTAATCATAATCAGGAAAATTAAAAAACACTTATTCATTTCACAATGCAAGATAAGATATTAACACTTCAATATCATAGTCAGTAAAATTACTTGATGATCACCATTACTAATCCAACACATTTCCTTCATCATTATCAATCAAATATATTTTACTCACTATCATTATCATTAATCCCATACATTTTCATCATCATCAATATCAATCAAATACATTTCTCTCACTATCATTATTACCATTAATGCCATATCATCATCATTATTAACATCAAAACAATTATCATCATCATTATTAACATCAAAACAATTCTTCTATCACTATAATCATTATTATCACTCTAATCTGCCTCTTTCAATGATGCCAACTCACTTTAAAAAAAAACGGAAGAGTAACGAAAGAGCAGATACTCTCTTATAACCTGAAGGCCCACGTGTTCAGTAAGTGGGTGGACGTAATGTAAAAAAAAAGGACTTAAAGAAGACAATACTTACCGACATACCCATGTCCATGTCCATGTCCATGTCATGACCTCCGTGGCCTGAGCCGTGCATCATGTGCCCACTGTGATCACCTACGACAAATGAAGAACATGGT